CTGGTGCAGGAGCTGCGGGCCGGGAAACCTGGACGGCAGGAAGCGAGGCTATTGATTAACCTGTACGTGCGGTGCCGAGGGCCAGTCAGGCAGCGAGCCCCTCCAGCAGCTCTGTGGGAAATCCACCTGGGAACTGCCTCTTGCAATAGTCAAAGGCCTGGGTTTGGGCTTTGATTATTTATTTGTGTTTCTTTTTTTTTAATTGGTGAAAGCAGGAAGAAAACAATCAATGAGGCATAAACAGTGAACACATAAACAAATTAAGAGAAAGTGCTGAGCTTGGGCCCGTGCTGAGTCGTCCTGGGGTATGTGAATCAGCAGTTTTGATGAAGCCCTAAACTCGGACGTGCAGTGGAGACCCAGTTACTCCCTGTAAGGGAGGGCAGCTCGCAGCAGGAGTTCAGGCTAGGTTGGGATGTGGTCGCTGGATGTCGGTCGCTTCCAGGTCGCGATTGTGTTGCTGTAGGTCAGTCAGTGACCGCGTGGACAGACGCCTGGTGAGGTCAGTGTCCTCACGTGCGGACCGCTCCTCAGAGCGTGCCGTGCACCAGGCACTGTTGTGAATTCTTTGGTTTAACTTTACGGTGTGAAGTCGCTTCCCTCCGCGCAGCACGTAAGGAGCCCCAGCCCCGTGGACGGCCGCAGCAGGCGTCGGTGTTGGCTTCCTGCGTGGCTGCCAGGCTGCTCTGGCTGGTCCGCTCAGGAGGAAAGCTCGCTCACAAGCTGTGTGATGGAGCGGACACAGCGTGGACTGTGCTGTGTGAGCCTGGCTGTGCTTCACCAGGGCTCCCTGGACTTGACGGAAGAAGAATCCCACAGCAGGTGCCACAAGTCCCGGCGTGTCAGTGGTTTCCGTGGGCAGAGGGCGCGGGCAGGCGTTCCTACTCAGGGGCTCGCGCCGAGAGTCTGTGGGTTCCCAGGCACTTAGACATCGTTGTGAGCTGCTGCATGAATGCAGTCAAATCTCAGGGGAGGGCCAGCTATGGACGAGGTGGTGCATGGGCTGTGAGTGGTCCATGTGCACCCGTTGATGTTCACAGGGAGAGCGTGGGACCACGGGGTGAAGTCCGTAGAGAACACTGTGGGTGGTGGGCAGAGTCACTGTTTTGGGCGTTGATAGATTCCAAACATAAACCAGTATAGGGACTGTGCCATGTGACCAGGGCGCGGGTGATGACTCCGTCGGTTATGTCTGTGGGCCACGAGCGCGGGGACAGAAGCTCGGCACTCTGGTCCCTTGTGGCTTTCGTTATTAGCGCCATTGCCGTAACGGAGCGAAGGCATGCACTTACTTCCGGATCAGGTAGGCAGAAGGGCCCGAGAGGGGCCTGTGTTATGAACCAGCGATAGTGATCTCTCCCGTTGTTCCCAGATGGTGCCCAGAGGAGCGGAGCTTGGGGTTCATCCCCCTGGGGATAATTTGCATGCAGCAGTTATTTAGAAAAATGAGCAATGAACTTATTCCATGCATAATTATACACGTGACTAAAGAAGGGAGGCCCTAGAATATGAAACGGAAGTGTTTGTGCATCGCTGGTGAGAGTGTGTGTGCCGTGAGACAGACTGACGTCATCTGGTTTTGCACACGTGGGGTCCATGAGGAGCCATCGCCCAGCTGTTAAATCTGCTGGTAGGGAGAATTTAGGCAGATATTTGTGGCTCTTACTCTCATTCTGCTACTAATTTTTAAAAATAAGTCCGTAACAAGGAGTGACGCTCCTGGGCAGTCCTGAGTTTGTGACGTATATCAAAAGCGAACTTCCGTTAAAAAGCCTCTAACTGTAGGCTCGCTCTCTCCTTCGAAAGTCTGGTTTACGTCACCAAGTGAACCTAGTGCAGCTGATCTGATCCTTCTCCAATGCTAAAGGTCTTGGCGTTTACCTCTGTGGGCAAGGAGAGAAGAGATTTATGTAAGTAATAGCTGGAGTTTAATGTTCTTGGGCTGGGAGGTTGGTTTACGGGTGCTGCCTGGGTTTTTCAGAGTAATAAATGGATATATTCATAAATAAGGCCACGTAACACTAGCATGGACCAAGGACTAGAGTGGGCTCAGAACTGGGATTTACGATGAACTTGATTCAGTCCTACTGAAATCCAGTAAAAACGGTGCTGGGTGTTTCATCCGTGCTTGGGGCTGCTTCACATTCCGTTTTCCGTTTGCCTTGACTCATTTGAAGTCCTCGTCCATGGGTGGCCACCGAGGCTGTGAATTCCTTGAGGGAGGACTGGGAGTTGGGATTCTCGGTGATTGTCGCACCGGGGGCCGACCCTTGGTGGGCCCGGGGCTGGAGTGAAGGAAGGATGTTAGTGAACTTGCGTGTGCAGAACACAGGAGCGTGTATGTGTGAGTCCGTGTCGCAGAGAGCAGCCTCGTCTGTCAGCCGTGTGGGCAGTGGGCGTGCAGACCATCACTAATACTGTCCAAGGGTGTCGCTGGGCTTTTTAATTAAGTGAGAATTTATCAATTATTCTTACAGAATCAATAAGTGAACAAATACTACATAAATGTAAATAAAGGAAGATTAACACGTCAATTAGAGTCCAGGGCAGGTATCCTGAGATACTGGTTACTAATTACGTAGAGATTAGCTTTGACTATTAGAGATCTATTAGGCAGAATAATCCTGCTTAGTTCCTCTGAGAGAGAGGAGCTTGGGGCGAGAGTCAGGCTGATCTGCGGCTTAGCTCTCCCTGTCGTGACTCGTGGGACAAGTGCGCCCGCACAGGGGTGGGTGCCCGTGCACGCGAGTGACGGCCAGGTGCGCAGGCTGCCGTGCAGCAAGGGTCGTCGCCCGTCACGCCTGTTTCGGAAGCGTGGAGCCCCTAACTTAACTTCCTCACTGGTGGCCATAGTGGACACACCCTCTTCTGTGAGAGTCCACGCTAGTGTGTTGGATTGGTGCTGGCTAGCTGGCTATTGGTTTTTCAAGAAAAGAAAGAACTCATTTACATTAAAAATGGTCGTGTGGCCAACTGCTTTGTGAAGCCAGGGCCAAGCATGGGCTACTGTTGTGAGCGTGGCAGGAGTAATTATGACCGGACGTTTTTTTTAACAAACACAGAGGATCCTGTTTTATTGGCGGCAGTGAACGCGTGGCCAGGTCCCGGGATCTGCCGCTGCGCAGGTCCAGGGTCTGGCTCTTCCTCTCGTTGTACCACGAGAAGTGAGCGCGTGAGTGAGCTCCGACCCCAGGCGGGGACAGGAAGGAGCAGGGCCCACGGAGCAGGCATAACGGTTTATCTGTTTTCACAGGTGAAGTGAGAATTGCCTCTAGACAGACTGCGTGGATTACTATTTCAATTCTGGCTTCCTGGTAAATTTCATTCTTTCTCTTTAAAAATGAATATTCAAATTCTCTAATTAAATAAAAACCCACAAGTGAGTCAGTCAGTGCGTAAATTAGGGCAACTCTTGGCTCAGTGCTTCGCGGCCTCCGCGCTGCACGGATACGGTCGCTTAACCAAGATTAATGAGGCTGGGGTGTCGCTGTGGTTAGGGAGTCTTTAGATGGATAGCTGTAATAGTCACATTTATTGCTCCTGTGTCGAGCGGTAGATTTAAGTGTTCATTATATTAAAAATTAAACAGTAAATAAATCAATACATAAAAAGTGGTTATTCTTGAGTCAGTAATGAGGACGTGATAGGGACCAGGGTTTGTGATTAGTCTAGCCCCTCGTGGCTCGAGTCCATTAAAAGAAGTTAAGGCCACACTGCTGCATTTTTAATAAAATGTGCATTTTACTTCCCAGCACGAGAGCTCCGTAGCTGAGTTAATTATTCAATGATAGCAAAGATGTTGGTTTTTAGCTTCCTGGGTGACGAATTCGCATCGGTGGTGTGGGTAGCGTGTTTAGCACTCAGCAGTGTCAACGCAGAGAGGCCTTGCCGGGACCGGTTCTGGAAATAAACCAACGCGCCTGAGGAGTCCCGCTCAGCACCGCTGACATCTGTTCAGCACGACGGAGGGTTTTATTCATTCTTGGAAGTTTTTAATGTTACGTTTTACTCTGTCCCGTGGTGGATGAGAAAGACTGTGGCCAGTCGCTTCCTGAGAGGGGAGGAGCCGCGCAGAGGGAGGAAAGCGCCAGGTGGTCATGGGGCTGCACCTCCCTTATCCGAAAAGCTGAAACCTGGAATACTCTGGAATCCGGTTTTTCCCGAGTGCCGACATGATGCCACAGGCGGAAAATTCCATACATGGCCTCAGGTTGCAGTCCAAATGCAGGTGCACTGTGAAGTGTGTGGCAAACGTAGGTGAAGTCCGTGCTCAGGCCCGGTCCCAGCCCCGAGGGATCCTCGCTGTATGCACGCAGCTATGCCAGCGTGTGACGCGCTCATGGCCCCGGCCTCTCGGATGAGGGTTGCCTGTTGCTCTGTAGCAAAGAACACGGACAGTAAATGTGTGTTGTTTATCGCAGATTCTATAAAGCTCGCTGGGCAGCTTGGTGTAAAGTCTGTTGTGAGGTCGCGGACGATGCAGGGGCGGGGGGAGGTGCAGTCCCCGCCGGCTGCCCCACCCTGGAGGCCTGCTGTGGTGGCCACGCGCTCCCCCGAGGACGCCCGAGTGCCCTCACGGTGCGGCCGCCCGCTTCCTCCAGAGACGCCCATCAAGGACGGAGGAAGGCGGGCCCTCACTGTGCGGGATGATCTAGCTCCGGGAGGCACCCCCCCTCCTCCACGGTGTTCGGTTGTGTGGGAAGGGAGCGTGGACCCTTAGGTGTCCCCTTGGAGGCCGCGTACCACGAGTGGAGTATCTTTGAGATGTGGATGAGTTACGTAAAAAGAGGGGCAAGTGTGGACATCTGCGTGTGTGACGCTGAGACCCATTGCCAAAAAGACGCAGCTTCTCCGTCGTGGTAGGAGAGGCTTGCGGTGGTCTCAGTAATACCCCAGTGCCGTTCTCAGGTGTTGGATTCGTGTTCATTGACTTCCACATTGTAAGTGACTCAATCAATGAATGAAAACCAAAGGTACGGCGAATGCAGGAGTGGCCCGCCTTGACCAATGATGAGCGTTCTGGGGTGTCTGAGTCAGTGATTCTGATTAAACCCTGTAACTCTGAGGTCCCTTAGCAGACAGACCGAGCTGATGCCTCTGCAGTAAACGCCAAGTTAGGAAAACTCCGGATTTTGTTCACAGGCTATTAAGTAAGGTTCATCACTGCATAAATTAATAGATGAGTAATTAAGTCAACACATACATGGGTGAAGACAAGTTGAACCGGGTGTGACCTAGTTGTGAGAGTACGTCGTGTGTTCATCGTTTGAGTACATTTCCGAAACCGTCAGTCCCCACATCAGTTGATGAAACGCGATACCTATTTGGGTAGGGAGAAGGGAGCGTACTGAGACGAGTACCTAGAGGTCCGTGTTTTTGTCCTGTGCTGTTTAAATGGTGCGGCTTGCTTGTTGACAGTAAAGATGTTACGTGCTCGGTTATGCCTTGGGTGTGATGAGGCCGTGTTCCGATCTCTAATGCACTTTCTGTGTTCACAGATGTTGCTGGTGTGGTCAGTGGATCTAGAAATCTGTCCGCACTTGCAGCAGTTGTTTTGGGGAGGGCAGCGCAGCGCTCCTCCGCCTCGCACCCCTGGCAGCGGGGCGGGCTGCCTCTGTGTTGCGTGGGGTCGTCCTGTGCATCGGAGGGTGTTCAGTGAGTCCCTGGCCTCGGCGTGCTGGAGGCCAGCATTGCAACAGTCAGGCTTCTCTCCTGACCTTGGGAGACGTTCACCGGGCCGACTCTGCCCCCAGAGCCAGCACACGGGGCTGAGTGCAGGCCGGTGGAGAGTGTGCGTCATTCATCCAGTTGTACCTCACTGAGACTCAGATAAAGGGGAAAAAATCCAACAGAGACAAAAAACATCTGGGTCCTTGGGCCCTTCCCACGTGGGGTCAGACTCCTGGGTGTAGTTGAGTTCCCGGATGCAGGGGTGAGTGGAGCCGTGAGTGTGTGAGTGAGTGCGAGGGTCCTCAGGAACGGGGGACGTGAGCTCAGCATGAAGTCGACGCAGCTCTCTCTGTAACGTCGTTTTCAGCAAACTCTGAAGGCCCCGCATGTAAGCGAGGCAGAGTGGCCCCGGGGCTCGAGACTACAGTGAGGCGTGTTTACAGCAGTCGTTTCTGGTTCTTGTGTTGGGTGTGGATGAGCCAGTAATATGCCAGACTGATTAAAATACAACCCAAATGAAGCCTTCTGAATAACTTAGTACCATCCCGCAAGTGTCCCTGGCGGGATTTAAATGTCGGCTGTTCTTTCTTAAATCTGCATTATTCCATCCAGTGTGCGTACCATGCCTGATTTAATTATTCTCCATGGTGAAAATCAGGGCCATTAATTCTGCATGTGAAATGACAGGAGTGGATCTAAAGTAATAGCCAGCGTTTATGTTCTTGATTTTGGGGAATTTGTTCATGAAGGTTTTATATCAGAGAAATAAAGGGCTACTCATTGAAATAAAATTAAAAAGACCTGTTTGTGGTCATTTGTTGTATCCTATTTAAAATACGAAGAAATAAAATATCATGGAGCAAGCATAGATGGGTGACGAGTATGGGTGTGCTGAGAAGCGTGGGGTTAGTGAGCCGTGCGCGGGACGCACCTGTTCACTGCAGAAGCGTGCCGTCTGTAAGCATTGTCATCCGCAGCCACTTCATGGATTTTATTGTGAGGACGTTGGGGTTCGCGTCTGTTGATTTTATTCTTGTTAGTGGGTTAATGAATAAGTCAGTAAACAAGAATGCAAATGCTTGGAGAAAGAGTTTTGAGCCAAGACCAAATTTTATTAGGCCCTGTGGCTCTGAGTTTAGAAAAAGACAACGACCCTATTATTTCGAGGGCAATGAGCACGTAGCAGAAGCTAGAATAAGATTTTGTTTTGGGTCTGTTACGCGTCTTGAGTGCATACTCTTTGTACGTCAGTGCATGATTAAAAGAAATATATGAAGATGAGAATGGCTCTGATTTTACTGGGGAGGAAAGTACGCCATAAAGTAAGGGTCAGGGCTCATCAGTAGGCAGTGCTGAGTTCTGGCAGCTTTACGTAAAGGTCAGTATTTTTGTTTGGGAGCTTTAATGCTCCCCCGTCTTTCTAAGACTTTAGAGCAGGTTTAGGTTCCCAGCAGCCTGGAGTGGGAGGCACAGGAGGTTCCCGTGTTCGTCCTGCTAAGCCTCTCCTCCATGGACAGCCCTGACCAGAGGGGTGCTTTTGTTACGGCGGGCACACCGTGGTCACCCCAGACCCCTAGCACAGTTCCTCGGTGCTGACCGTGGCGCTGTGCATTGCGTGGGTTCCCACAGACGTCTGACGACGGGCACCCACCATTGCAGAATCACACGGAGCCCTCCTGCCCCAGTTCTCTGCTGCACCCGCTTCTCCGCCCTCCGCCCGGCCTCCGACCCCTGGATCCCCTCTGCAGCTGCCTTGTGCAGAATGTGCTGTCTGGAGTCCGAGTGTGCACCGCTCCAAGTTGGCTTCTTCTGCGAGGAATATGCATTTAAGTTTCTTCCGTGGCACTTCATGACGTGGCAGCTCATTCCTCTGTAGTGCTGGACAGTAGCCCGCTGCCTAGATGAACCTCAGTCTGTGCATCCGCTTGCCCACCGAAGGGCGTCTCGGTAGTTCACCAGTTTGGGCAATTGGAAGTGAAGTTGCTCTCAACAGGTGTGTGCGGGTGTTTGCACGGACGTAAGTTTCCTACTCCGTTGGGTGTGTGATTGCTGTGCAGTATGTAGGAGTGTGTTTAGATTTGGAAGAAATGACCAGCCTGTTTCCGGTCGCTCCGAATCCTTGCCAGCATTTAGTGCTGTCTGCGTTCTGAACTTTGACCCGCTCTAGCAGGTGTGCGGCGGCACCTGCTGGTTTAATTTGCATTTCCCTGATGGCACACTGTGTGGAGGAGCTTCCCCTGCATCTTTGTGGGTGAAGTTGAGTTTCTGAGGGTCAGCTTGTGTGCGCTGAGTCCTTTATCACGTTGGTCTTTGTAAGTGTTTTTTTCAGTCTTTGTTCATTTGAAATTTTCGCTGGAGAGCAGGAAGGTTGCTGTTAACGAGACCCAGTGTATCAGTGCTTCCTCTCACAGATGGTGCCTTTGGTGTTGTATCGTCTCCAAATCCAAGGTCATCTAGAGTTTCTCTTACGTTTCCTTCCAGGAGTTTTATTGTCTTGCGTTTTACATCAAGGTCGGTGATCCCTTTGGCATTAAATTTCGTGAAAAGCATGAAGTTTGTCGAGATTCACTTTTTTTTTTCCCAAGTGGGTTTCCCAGTAATTCCATCACCGTTTGTCCAAAGACTGTCCTGGCTCCACTACACCTCCTCCACTGCTTTGTCAACGATCCGTGGACTACAGTGGGTCTGTCTCAGCGCTCTCTTCTCTGTCCCGTTGACCTGTTTGTCTACTCTGTTGGCAATGCTGCAGTGTTAACGCTGTTTTCAGTCCATCTTGGATATGGGCAGCATCAGCCCTGCTGTGTTCTCCTTCGGCGTCCTGCGGCTGTTCTGAAATCACTCCTCCCTAGACGCTCTGGGTGGGGTGAGGCTGTGCGTGCAAGACGACGTGTTCACTGTGCGTGCAAGACGACGTGTTCACTGTGCGGGTTGAGGCCACAAGGCCGCCTTCTGTGGGGAGGTTGAATGGTGACTCCCAGTGTTAAGTAAGATGCTCATCAGTGAGGAGAGAAACACGAACGGTTTAGATGCACAGAACTGACGTTCACTGAGAAGCACAAACGCCGTCCACGCTGGCCTCTCCCCTGCAGTGGCCATGGGGCGTGCGGGTGACCGGCCGACTTTCTAAGAAGCCAGATCTCGGCAGTTAGCTCTGTGGGTAGCGCACACAGAGCGATGGAAGTTAACACCGCAGGTTCACGTCCGCGGTCGGCTGCTCTGTTGCCTGTGTCTAGCGTTCAGAGTAGCTCCTGTCTGCAGAAATACAGATCAGCAGAATGGACCCGGGACGGGAATGTGTTATGAACCCAAAAATATGTTTCATCTAATTTGGGGCAACTGAAGGGATACAACAGACACTAATTGTTTACTTTCAGAACTGCTCAGCTTTATAGCCACAGTTCACCGCTCGTGTTTATTTCTCTGTTGGTGTGGGCCTGGCTTATGAGTCTGTGTGGCAAAGCAAGAGAATAGGGAAGACACCGGGCGTGCCAGAAGATGGTGGTTCCGTCACTTTTCGTGGAACCATCTTTAGAAAGAACACCACGGAAGGACCGGGGGTGAATGTGGACTTGGCAGGAGACACGGCTGTTGGTTAGGAATTAATTCATTAACTGGTGCGCCGTGCTCTCCGGGCCCATTGCCAGAGCAGGTCTCGCCTGTGAGGGCGGAGCCACTCTGGCGAGTCGTCTTCCTAGAAGTTGGCGATTGCGCTGTTGTTCCGGAGCCACGCGTCAGTAACCAGCCAGGCGCGGAGGAAGACCGCGTGATTGGACTGATGATGAGTGCCATGGGGTATCTGAAGTCGGGATATTTTGATTAAACCCGAATGCGACTCTGAGGTCCGATTACAGAGACATAATTGTTCTTTGGAAAGTAAGCTCAGGGTGCCCTGTCCCGGGCTTTTGCGGTTTTGGGGGGTGGCTTTACATTTATTATAAAATAAACCCATAAATTTAAAAAAAAATGCAAGAACCGAAAGGCCAATTAAGTACCTATTGAGGAATGTGATGAGGCCGGATGCATTAAAATCTGTCTGAGGATGGTCAGTGTCCCCCCGCTGTGCACAGGAGTCCAGAACGGCTGCGCTGTGTTGGTCGCAGACTGCTGACCCCTGTAAATACTTGGTGCAGTAAGAGCCAGGCAGAGAGGCGCGCAGAGGATGCTCGTCCAGTCTTCCCTCCCACTGACTGTTAGTAAATCATAAGAAGCAGAAGCCAGCGTGCTGTTGTTGGTGAGGGAGTGGCCGCGGGCAGAGGTCAGCGCTGGGAGCGTTCCTGTCCCGTGTGCGGAGAGCAGACGCGACTGCTCTGTGGGGGCATCGCAGCATTGGAGCTTGACATTTGTTTCTAAAAAGTCAGCAAAGCGTGGACCAGTTAGGAACAAACGTTGTGATGTGAGAATC